CCCCTGAGGCTCTGTCCCACTCCCGGGGTCACATTCACCTCCCTGGCTGGGCAGCACTTGCCCCTGCCCCACTCCTTCCTTCACCATGGTGGCCTCAATCTGTCACCCCTCCACCCCGCACGCCCCTTCCCTCCCACAGACTTACTGGCAGGGGGCTGCTTCTCTAAGCTGCCCAGCTGCATTTCTGGCCACGCGCATGCTGCACCTGCGTGCATGCACACAGCATTTATTGGTGACATTATCGGCTACACCGGCCAAATAAAGCCAATTGCCAATAACATTAATTTTCCTTTTAGCAGTGCTGCCACTGTGCACCTCTAAACCACATAATAAACAATCATCCAAAATGATCCATGTACATTCAAGAACTCCTGCCCCCCTGCCACACATCATACACCACAAAGCATCCACCCAAGATTGATAGAAAAATCTATGGTAGGCCACAGAAGGAGAGCATAAGAGACACAGGCACCACCAATGCCTCAGAAGCCTATAATAACAAGGAATTTGGTAGGTAACATCTAAATATGCAAAGATGGATCATAACCCACATTCCAAAAGAAGGCAAAACACTCCCAACAATCCTTGCCAATCTGGCCTGGAAGAAAATTCCTTCATAGCTATAACTTTAAATATGGCTGGGGATCAATTTCACTGGGAGAACAATAAACAAGTGAGGCATCTCAGGCGTTCCTTAGTACCATTAGGCACACAAGTGCACCCAACTCAGTATCTCCCACAGAAAAAAAGAAAAGAAACAGAAGCTAAGAAATGCAATGGATAGAGAAATGAAAGAAAAAAAATGTTCCTGACCTATGCAGACAACTTCTAAAATGAAGGAAGACTGCCCAATTCACAAAGAGCATCACAACTGCCTGCCCTGGCCTTCCTTACCTGCATATGCAATTCCTTGTCATGCCCAAAAAACCCACATTCATCTTCAGCCCAGTACTACCCCAATGCAAAATCTGTTCCATCTAGTGCCAGTAAGTCACATCTCACCCCTAGATGGAACATTCTCTCTAGCTTTAACCTGCCACCAGCAAAATCAAGAAGCCTTATACCTGCAATCATCTCCCACATAGGTAATCAACCCAAAGTGACCAATGGACCATCTAGACATTTAGGTAAACGCATGATAGGATCTAATGTATGATGCACACAATCGTGCCTCCTGCCATGCCAGATGAGCAAAGCCAGAGGCTGTACGATCCAGCATCAGATTGTGGGATCCAGCAGTTTGAACCATGCCTTACTGACAGTGTAGGGAGAGCCCAGAATTGCAATCTCAGGCTCCTCCTGTGTGGATGGGAGACTCATCTGCTGATGAGACTCCCATCTGCAGCAGCACCCCTGAGGCTGTCAGTTGAATGGCTCTTAGCTGAGGGGGCATAGCTATGCTACATGCGCAAATTAAAGTTGACTAGAAACCAGCTATAAAGTTAGCACTTTTTATGACATGATAGCTAATTTGCACATGTAGTCAGTCTAAATTAATTATGCAATTAACACAACAATTGTGGGGGCCTAAGCTTCCTTTCAACCCTTGTCTACTGATATCAAATGCTCAAAATTTCCTATCGCTAGTTTTAATTGCTACTCCCAAAACATATTTCTATTTCATGGTGACCAACCTTCTTTGGCAGGTGTGCCACAAAGTAAGCTCTGTCCTTTCCCCAAGTGCCTCTCCAACCCCCTTCCCCTGCTCTACTCTCTCCACCCTGCCCGATCCACCACTGTTCACTCTGCTCCCTGCCAATCTACTGCATGCCAAACAAAATGGCTTCATGTGACATTTCTGACGTGTGTGCTGCAAGCTGGCCACCCCCTGTTCTATCCTATTGTACTAAACCTTCCATATGCTTCCAAGCCATCTTGAAGCAGTTTAGGTTCCTTTTTCAATAGGCCAATCAAGAACATCGCTGTTCCGATACTAAAAAACTCTCCAATTTCTAAAATGTATTTATGACCAATTTGTGCTCATTTCATCATATACCAATACAAGCTAAACATAACAATGTCTTTTATTTCACCTCTTCTCATAAGATAGGCCCTTCATGCCTATAATCATCATAACAGACCTTTTATGAAATTGTTCCATTTTATACCCATCATTTTTAATTTAAGTGACCAGAACTGTACAAATGGGTTCTTTCCAATGCTTGGCACAATGGTACTAGTAATCCCTGTCTCCACTAAAATATCATCTAATACATCTTACACATTTAGCTGCCTGTTCTTACAGTAAGAACAGCAACACCACAATAGCAACTTGTGGTCATCCTACATCAGGGTGGGCAAAATATGGTCTGTGGGCTAGATTCGACCCATGGAGGGATTTTGCCCAGCCCACGGTGGGTCTCTTGGTCCTGCCTAGCCCAGGCACAAGAGGTAGCCCAGTGCACAGTGCATGCAGCTAGAGTCCCGTCACCCCTGGGCACACAGTGGGGCTGGAGTGGTGCAGTGGCCAGACTATTTCTGAGCAACCCCAGCAGCAATGGCTCCTTCCAGCTGCCACTGCCAGGCCTGGCCCCACTGCTCAGGTACCACAGCCCACCCACCATGCACCCCTGCCAAGTGGGCAGGGTATGAGGCCAGGTGGCTGGGATGGCAACATGGGCTGGCAGAGAGTGGTATGCAGGGGTGAGACAGGCAGGTGGGGCTGGGGACACCCTGGAATTTTGAGGTGGTGACAGTGCAGAGCTCGAGCAGAACTGCAATCTCTGCTCCCTGCATGCCCCTGCCTGCAGAACCCATGCCCATTGCAGAGGCATGTGAGAAGTGAATCATGGCTCTGCACCAGGCCCCAGCCTCAGCCCCGTGCTGTCACCACCCCATGATCCCAGCCTTGCCTGCCTGCCCCACTCTCAAACATGGCTCCTCACCCACAGCCCCATACCACGTAGGGAGTTTTGGCAAATTGTTGCAAGGTAGGGGGTGCTGACCCAGTCTGCGACAGCTCAGCAAAACTCCTTATGTGGCCTGCCAGCTCAAATAATTGCCCCCATGTCCTACATTCATCTGATACACTCATGTCCCTCTCCTCTTCTAAGTTAGGAGGACACAGATGGTCATAAACTTCTTGGTATTAGACCTTAAATGCATTAGTTTGCACTTGTGTACGGTTATCATTTCTGTTACTCCAGTCCACAAGGTCATCTAATTCTTGCATGATAATCTGATTTTTCTCTGTATTGACAATATTTCCCAACTTTGTATCATCCACAAATTTCATAAACAAGCATCTGGCTCTAGTGACCTTTGTCCAAATGAAAATATTAAATGGGATGGGTCCCAAGCAAGGTTGCCAACAGTCCATAAATTTACAGAAACTTCATAAATAACCAAACTAAAAACGTCCATCTGTAAATTCTGTAAAGAAAACTGCTATCCATAAAAACACAAAGCAAAACCATCTCTGAGTAAAAAACCATCCAAGTAAAAAAAAGAGCTCACTGAAATTCTGTGGTCAGACAAGAAGCTAGATGCAGTGTTGAAATACAGACAGAGCACAGCAGGGCCACCTGGTGTCCAAGCAGAAGTGCAGCACACAAAAGAGGTTCTTAAATTTGTGGCTCCTTCCCTAACCCTCAGCCATGTGCTGCTGCTCCTCCTGGTGCTGCCTCTTGTCTGCCTATGGCACTGCTAGGTGGCAGGTAGGCAGTCAGACAGTGGCCCACCCTTGGGGTCTCCCCCATGTTCTTCACAAACTCTACCCTATGTATCTCACACGCCTTTGCCTGCACCACATAGTCTCCCCTGCATTCTCTCCCCCCACCCTGCTATGCAGTCTCTCCCAGGTGCCCTCTTTGGCCCTGGGACCAAGGCAAAGCCAGAGCTGGGTCACTGCCATGTGCTCTGCCCCAGCCCAGTATCTAAATCTAAAATGAGGCTTCCCTCCCCACAATACTGATGGGGAAGAAAACCTTGTCATGTATTTGAATAAATATGGCAACTATAAGTCTGGGCCTGTGGGCTGCATAGGAAGGCTGGCAGGCTGGTTTGAGGTTAGCTAGAAAAGCAGAGCTGAAGGATGGGTGAATTTCAATGAAACATCTGGAACTTCACCCATAAAAAATGCATTTGCATGAAGGGAGCAATCCACGATCATTCAACTTTCTTCATCCTCACTATTAATCCATCTCTTGACAAAGGAGAGAGAGCAGAAGAAGGAAAAGCAGAGAGATCCTAGCGTATGGCCTACTCTCCCCTGCAGAAAGACTTCAACTTCTGTGGATGGATCTGTGGCTCAAGGTTTAGACTCTTAAATCAACTCAAGACCCATCAATGAGCCATGGTAGAGATCATCCTCAAATGAAGGGATAATCATTGTCATCGGTAATCTGTCCCACAGTATAATGTATCCCCAGGCCACAAAAGAGTTGAAGCTCATTAACTTGTTCTTATCAAACAGTCATTTTAGACAGAAATTATTTAACCAAAGCAGGTCCCTTTTCATGGGTCAATTATGGGGTCTTGGTAAAGAAAACCCTAATCATTACCCTAATCTCTTTTTGCAGGTGTTCAGAAAAAGTGTATATCAGCCCAGCTTCATCTCCTAACTCCCCACCTTCTCCAGATTCATGAAAATATGTTTCCGATAGTTTAAAATTATTTTTGAAAGTTCAGAGGTTCATTAAAAATTGTGTTCATAGCATCATCAATGAAACTCCAGTAACCTGAGCTGTTACATCTAGTGCTGAAGTTCCTGAGAAAAGGAATGTAATTAAGTTCCAAGAGCATAACATGGCATTCATTTATAATACAAGTGAAAAAAAATATTAGACTGAACTCGTACAGTGCACAGAAGATAAACTCACCTTTTTTTGGTTTTACCAAATTTAATGTGAAAAATTAATAGTAAAAGCATTTTAAACAACATGACTTAATTTAAGAGCTTTTTAGTGTGATACTAGATATCGAACATAAATAAAATATTCTGTCTCTTGAAGAAATCTTTAAGTAGTTTTAAGAATAATGAGTAATTCTTCAAAACTCACCTCAAACCCTCCTCC